AAATACTGATCTAAATTCTTCTCAAGCTTTTGAAAGAGCAACGCTCAAAAGTAGCCTCAAACCATTTAGAAAGGAAAGCAACAGAGACGGCTCTCTCATTTCAGTTTTTTCAGTCCAGAAACGCGCACACACACAACTACCGTGTGTTGGCCTTTGCAACCAACAATTTGCCAGCTGCTTCCCCAGGCAAGGAAGTCAGCGTTTGGTATTCAGAGCATTCGCAGACGTTAGGGTCGTGCAAAGACAACCTCCCGCTATTCTAAAGAAAAAGCAGCCCTCTGGCCCTCGCCAGTAGCTGTGAGCAGTGATAACTCCTTGTATCCTACCCACAGCTAACAGCGTAACGCATTTAGAGACGCGAGATGTAGCAAACAGTGCAAAAGCTTCAGCTTTGAGTATCGCAAAAAACAAGGGGGTAAAAAGCACTGAAGGATTTTTCTGTTATCGAAGAGCTAAAGAAAATAGCACGTTGTAACTCTGGCACCAGCAGAAAACAGTCCTCCAGAGCTCGCTGCAAACTTTCTGCTGCTGGCTCTGTAATGCCTCGATACAAAAACAAAAAACCCATTAGCTTTGGTGGTTTGTGGGATTACAATCTCATTATCTCCCAGGCTCTAGCTTCTGCCTATTTGATCAAAATTTAGTAGAAACTTGTATCGACTCCTTTGCAGCTCCCCAAGGGAGACAGTCAGTACCGAGCAGTACAAAGGACAATAGAAAAGCAACTGGTGCAGAAAAATATGCCTTTATCTAACTTGGAAACTTCTTACTATAGCTATTAAAAAACTACAGATAAAATACTGATGTCAAAAGCACAAACTCAGCATCTTGGGAGCCCTGGACAAGTTCTGTTCATATAAGGCAAGCCACTTTTTGAAGGACAGAGAAAGTTTCCCCAACCCCTCCAACTAATATTACCAATAAAAGAAAGAGCAGCACTGGTCAAGCTAATCTGTAACCACCACGCAAAATCTAGAATGTCAAAATCAGACAAGTGATTCTGAGTAATTCCATGCTTGCATCATAATTATCCGGGGCTTCTTTTCATAGAGACAGACAAACAAAAAGCTTCAAGGCAGACATTTTTACTACCTCCCTACTGTAAAGAGTCCTACTTCTCAAAAAAAAAAAAATAATTCCTTTCCACAAGTGGAAGACTCATGTTCTGAAGGAAGCCTATGGGGCAAGTTTCCCTGTAAATCAACCCCCTCCTCCAAGTGATACACTTCCACACTCATGTTAGGACAGGACGCTCACCTACAACACACAGATGGACATGTCCAGACTCCAAATAAGATTGCATGCTGATTTCATGCAACCGCAAAGCACCAGGAACGCAGTTCTGCCGTCCGTCCGCCATCTGATGATACATCAGAACCCAACAAGGCTTTTGTATGACAGCCCCGAGATAGCTTCAGCTATTCTCACCTGGTAGGACAGTGCGTTTGAACCAGGAAAACAAAACAGGAAAATTGAGGACAAACAAGCTGGCAGCTGGGGAGGGGAGTGCGCATCAGAAGACAAAATTTCTGTCTGTAATTCTGCTACAGATTTTTAGCTGTCCATGGGAAAGACTCAGCCTTTCCTTTGAAGAAAGGGCATGAGGGATACTCTTTCTCGGAAAAGCTGCAGTGGTATAGCTCTTTGCCATTTCATCAGTGAATGAAGGGTATTCCTACAGCTCGGATTCTGCAGGGAAATAGGGAAGTCGCTGCTATGAGTCACGGCTCTCCTCAGATTTTTCAAACGGCTCAGGCAGCAGTGCTGATATGAAAAGCAAGAGCAGCGGAAGCCCTTGCTCTCTGCTTCCTCCTCCAGATTTAGGCAGCGTGGGTGTCATTGCTGGGAACTGCTGCCCTCTGCTGTCACATAAAATAGCAGCGAAATTCTCATCTGACAAAACCAGGTTTACAGCTACGTTAAAAAAAAATAAAATACACCATGGCAATAACCACAACGTCACAGTGCATTCAGATTTCCAGTGTGTTCACCCAGTCAGTTCTGGTCGTACGCATCTATAAAACGCCTGCCCCTTTTTGCAGCACGTCCCAAGAGGCATCTTACAGGCCAAACTCAGCCTAAAGGATGATTTTACCTAGCCCATCACCTGTGTTGCAGCTGTTTCAGAGGTAAAAGCACTCGGCTACTCGTCCGTTCAGCAAAACACCACTTACTGGCTGCAGATCTTTGTAGTGGATTGTGCACATCACCAGGGAAAGTGCCAGCAAGTATGCTGCCCCCAGGACAGGGCTTGGACTAGACTGAAGGAATAAAATGCATTACTGCCATCCCCGCGGGGCCATATGAGATTCTCTCCTTGTCTCAGCCTTCACAGTAGCAGTGCCACCGGGAAGTTTTGCCAACCATTTTAAACAGTATCCAGATGGGGAAGCCGAAGTGAATTTACAGGCATATTTTGAAGTTGAACAAAGGCTGAGGTCTGCATAGAAGAATACTCTGCAGCCCTCGGGCAGAAAAATCTTGGCTTCATTTTCCTTGAGGTCTGCCTGTGCTCATGATCAAAAAAAAAAGCGTGAAGGAAAAAGGAGAAGATACACCATGCTGCACAGCACATCTCCAGCCCGCCAGCAGGAGAGCAGCACCCAGTTTGCACTGAACAGTAGACACGTCACATCCACCAACTTACCTGACTTCCTCACCAGCAAAATCAAACACTTTGGTGATTGTTACTTTTCCTGAATCTTTTGGCTTCTCAGACTCTTTTGGTTTTTCCTGAAGCTTGTTCCCACTCTTCTCTTCTTCACCCTGTGAAACATATGAAGGAGAAAACAAAACAATGCATTTGTGGAACCAAGCCAAATTTCCACTCCAAGGGGCCCGGGACCCAACTCAGACCTCAGGTAGCGCTGCAGTTTAGGTTGGCTGGTCAAAGCAAGTCACCCACAGACAAGAAAAAGGAAACAAACACCCCTGCCGCCAGAGAGAAACTCCCCTCTTCGGTTCCAGGGCTCTCACTGGAGCTCATGGATCAAACCGGACCCAAAATGAGATGTGAAATTGTAATTAAATGTAGGAAGGAGCAAGAATACACTGCTGCAGTTCAAAAAGCAAGCAAAAGCCTGGAGACTTAGTTCTCCCGAAGGAAGCACTGCCGGGGTGGATTACAAAGAAATATGTTTATTTTTATTCAAGAATATAGAAGAACACAACCCATGAGAAGGAAAAGCAAGGCTGATCTTCATAGAGGACTCTGAAGATATTAAGCCACTTGTTAATAACATCTCTTTAATTTGAGAAGGAGATATCTTTATTAAGCTATTTGTCAACAACGCCTCTTAATTTACTCCATCACAACTACAGCTTTCAACAGCATACATAAAAATTAGACCACAAATAATCAAGACAGAACCCAAAATTCTTGCTCTAAATCAAACACACACCACAAAGATTTTAAGTCCAGATGAAGAAGATCAAATAGAACAGACGAACTGCATCTCTCCATAAATTATTCTAGGCTATGGAGGAACTTTCAAAGACCACACGTTTTAGGGATCTGCCCATAAAAGCAGAATTGCTCAGAACTTTTCCTCTCTCCTTCTCTCTAATTCTACCTGTAACCATCTCAGCTGTGCAGGCAGTAACAACTGAGGTGGAGGGAAGCAGAAGGGTTCAGATGAAAAGACTCTTCTAAAAGTTGCAAGCAAAGATTGCACTCGTTCTGCAACCTTCCAACAGTTGTAGAAGGAGGCTTCACACAGTGAGGAGAACTGTACTCACACGGTATCACTGAGTCAAGAGGCCAGACTTTTGTTACAAAATACTTTTTTGGCTGACCACTCCAAAAAGACAATTCTAGCAACAGAGGGTCAGTTTTGGTACTTCCTACCACCCTTCAGTGCAAAAGGCTTTGTAAGGCAAATACACGCATATGGTTTTATTAAGTACCAAATCATTTTAAATAGCTGATTACCCACAGTATTCCCTCTACACAAAACCTCTGCAGACAGACAGCGAGAGCATGTTAATGGGGCTTATAAAGGAAACTAGAGAAAGCTAGATTCATTCTTGTTACAAACATCCATCCCAAATGCAGCATCTTCCAGACCCCCTCACTGTATGAGGATGAAGGCACAGACACGTCAGCACAGGTCTCTTCTGTTTCCCCACTCACACACACACACAGCCTCCTCTTTTTTGAGGATCAGGAAAAGCACAAGCCTCGAGGGAGTGCTGTGCCCACAAGCACAACTCAGACCAAAGCTCATTGTGCCGCTCCTACGTCACAAGGAGGATCCAGGACTGGGAAGAGAAGCCAACAGGGCTCCGTGGGACACTCTGAGATGCTGACAAGCAGCTCCAAGAGCAAGCGCCGCCAGATCACAGACCTCCCCAGTTGGAAAGAAACCAGGAGCTTGGTTTGGCCCACGATGGGGCTCCAGGCTTACAAAGCAGATGGGGCAGGGGTGAACCCAGCCTCTTCCCAGCTCTGGCTGACGTCTGGTACCAGCTAGAACCAACGCCACGTGCTCTAAAGCTTCAGGGCCTTCCCATGCTGCCTGTGTGAAGGCCCAGGCTCCTGTTACCTTCTTTCCTTGTGTCGCTTGCGTGGCAGCCACCACTTTGGGTTTCTGTCCCACATCACTAAGGAAACTGGCCCAGAGAGCATCCTCTTTCTTTTTCTCTTCTTCTTCTCTGTTCCTTTCCACCTGCTCTACATTATCCACTTCCTCCTCTTCCTCCTCCTCTTCGTTCTGCTGAGCCTTTTCTTCTTCTTTCTCATCTGGCTCTAGCAAGAGACCTCCTTTCTTCCTCTTCCTGGAAGCAAGATGCCAAAAAAAATAAACACTGAGGTGCTGCAACATTGTTCCAGAGCTGCAGGGTAAGCATAGGTGAAGCAACACAGTATTTCGTATTCTCGCTAAGACATTCTACCTGGGAGATTTCCCCTAATCTTGGGGGCGAAGCTAATTAATTAAAAGATGATGCTGTTCAGAAAACACAGGGAGACTGAAGCAGGCAGACCCCTGAAGTGGGCTGGCATGTGTGTGCCTGTATCTGTAAATATACAACGGACTCTGGGATGTTGTAGGAACCACCAGGGGAGGGGAACTGGGGCAGGATAGGAACCAATTTTAAATAAACTGTACACAAGTGGTGCTACTTCTCGTTGTTGGGTTTTTTGTTGGTTTTTTTGGTTTTTTTTTTTTTTTTTTTTAACTTAAAAAGGCTCATTAAAAGGAAAAGAACTAGTTCCTGGGGAGGGTTTCCAGGCACGGTATCCTTCAGGACCTTTGCCTCTGGCGTGAAACCGGAACGAAGAAAAGCGTTTCTCAGCCCTGCACCCGGCGGGACAGGCACCGGCGGAGGCGGCTCCCAGTCGGGCCGGGCCGGGCCGAGCTAAGGCGGATGTTCCCACCCGGGGAACCGGGGGCGGCTCCGCCCGCGGCCGTACCTGCTGGCGGGGCGGCGGGGGCTCCTCCT